TTCAAGTGTGGCTGAGAGGGGCAGAAAGCTAGAAACGAGTACAGTAAATATTGCGTATTGAAATCGTCGACTAAAGTACGAAGCGTGACCTGAAAATTATGGTCACAGACCACAACGTGTTGCGTATCCGAGCATGTAGCATAAGTTTTGGCAGCCTAAGATTTGGCTTGGCTGGTCGTTGCAATGACTTCTGAAAGTTTGAACGGGGCGACGACTATGAACCTGAGAACCTGCCCTTCCGTGTCCTTGAAGCACGTTGTGCCGCCACTGCCGCCTTGAATCACAAACCTTAAAATGCAGACGGCCTTTGAAGCCAGAACTTCAAAGGAAGCTTCAAAAGCAGAAAACTGCTTCTTTCTTTTTCTTTTTTTTTTTCTTTTTTTTTTCTGCCAGAAGAGTAGAGGATGAGGAGAAGTTTCAAAATCAAAGTCTGCCACTTTAAAAGTCTATCAAGACTAGCATAAGATAAAATTGAACTGAGACTCGGTGGATTTTGCACTTTGTCTCCCTCTGTCTCCTGAACCATCATAATATAAAGTGCGTAGTGTCTCAGACCAACCACGCGCTGTTATGTGAAAAAGTTGAATATATAGCATTACCTAATTGATTTAAGATACCGTTATAGAAGTATAACCGTCAACCAAATCATGCACTGTTATGTGAAAAATTAAACACAGCTGAGCAGCACCTAACTGACTTGAGATGTTGTTATAGTGATGTTCCTGTATTCTCGATGTAGGTAAGTGTCTCTATAACATATATGATTCCTTATAGTTAGTGCAGCTGTGGTTGGTTCTGCAGATTGAGTATTGTGTGATTAATCTTCCACCTAGCTCATACGTTAGTGGACTAGCCATTTGAGTTTTAGATTTAGTCATCCCACGTGTGTGGATCACGTTTTGGTTGCTGGCATTCCGCGTGGCAGAAGGAGAAATACTTCCTTGCATTATGAGATATGCGCATCATGAGATATGCTTACATGAAACATGAACTCTAAATAGTATGCATTGCTAATTACGGATTGTCATATGAAAAAAATTTATGTATGAAATGTACTTGGTTTGAAATACCACTATAATAAACTCCGATATATATAAGCTTGTATTGTGAAAATCATACTGAACTTATTCAAAACTAGCACATTTCCTATGCTTTCGGGGAAAAACAGTACAATCTTGACAAGTTAGAGCAACCAACTACGGATGGTTGGCGAGTACTCAAATTTTAAATGTGCAACAAGCCATCTCAAAAAACATGGATAGCTAAATTGGAGTTAATACATCCATAAAGGGTCCGATCTAATGTCATGTTAACATGATATTTTGAAAAAACTCATGCTTTTATATATCATAATACGAATTTTGCTATTATCAATTGTCAGAATTTAACCGTTAATGTATTGTGAGTTTTGCATGCGAGTGACAGAAAGTAGATCCTTTGTATATACTTCAAATGGCCAATGCGTCACTGTCTTAGAAGCTGTAGCAGCAGGTATAGACTTCAAAAAGGAAGAACTGTCGATGGTGGAGGGTGGAACACATCAGAAAGCACTAGTTTCTTGTCATTTTTTGGCTCAACACAAACACAAACACCTCGTGATATAATCATCTAAATAAAAACCCTTATTGCGCTTGATGTGGCTACTGTTTCACACGTTGGAAAGTTTGATAATGTTTTGGCCTTTCAGGGCTCAAAAAACTCAATGAATTTATGGTGGAACTGCCACGCCCATCATGTATCATATCTGCGTGCTATTAGGGTCGAAATGCGATTCCATCAAAAAAGGTAATGATAGGGAGACAAAATTTATATACAAAATTTACGAACTAAATATTTTGTCATCAATATAAATGAGCACTTTAAGCAATGCTTAAAATTCAATCATCAACTTCCATATCATTTAGTTTATAAAACTTCGTCTACAAATGAAATGGTTGTTTGGGTCAATATTGGTGATCAGTGCGTGTGTCCAAGTGGTGCACTAAACTCTTAGATATATAGCAGATTGTTCCGAGTAGTTCTTGACCAAGGTTAGGGTTTCAAAGAAAAGAAGAACGAAAAGATTGTTGGCAAAGTTTTGGTGGCTGTAAAAAGTCCGCACATCGAAAGAAAAGTAAGAGAAGAAATTCAAGATGATTCCCAACTTGGAACTACTAATAATAATATAAGGAGAAATACATATATAAAAAAATAATTTTATATCGAATGCACATTAACAAGTGTACTAACTCATCACAAATATACTATCGTTGTACTTTTAAAACTGATGTTACTATGACGATATTTTAAATTAATTATTCACTGTCATGTATTTTTAGTTTTTTTCACACAACAATACATAGTTATCTATCATCACATAAAGTATCTCTCTTTTAGCTATATGAATCAATTGACGAAGATTCTCATTTTTAGACGTGCAAATATTTTAAACAAAGAGTTCATCGCCTTTGTCCCCCTATTTGGACGCCTGATTGGTGTTTCTCCCAATTCATGGCATGGGATACAACCTAACTAATATAGAATTTAGATCCTTTGCACTCTGCAGGAAAATGTAGAAAAGTGCAAGATGACCAAAATAAATGGGACTAGACCAACCAAATCTCGACCTAATTCCTAATATTCAAGCATGGAATCCAACTGAAAAAAAAGACACAATTTGAGTAAAATTACACATTAGCATCACATAATTTAATTTCTTATTAAAATAAGTGTTATATTTTTTAGTTCGACATCAAATTATTATGATTGAAATATTGTATATATGCCTGACTATTTTAGTGAAAATATATCGTTAAACGTAATAGTTCACGACTGTGTTTAACGTAACAAGCTATAACTTAGCTAGCAAAAGATCAAACACCATTAATTTATGCAACATGTTATCAACATTAGATATGAAGATATGTTTTTCTTGCTGCAACATACAGATCAGATCCGTCCTGCAACAAATCCACCAAAACGAAACCACGCATGTGAGAAAACAAATGCTAGATCTGAGGATTAATAGTGCAGCAAACCCATTAATTTTCTGCATGGATGCCGCCTGTATGAGATCAAAACTTAATAACCTTGCAGAAAAATCAGTGCAGGTGCTCTGTGTCCCTGATTCCCACATGCCTCTAAGTGTAGCTCTAGCTCACATCCCAGAACAACGATTAAATATGATTAACATTAATAAAGTTTTAAAGTGCCCGACGCAAGTCGAATCAATTAATCATAATTATAGCATACCTGCAAATTTTATATTCGATTTTAAATCTTCGTTTCAGAAAATTACAGTAACCTATGCCATGATTTTTTCAACATATGATTACAATTAATAAAGTTTTAAAATGCCGACACGAATTGAGTCAATTAATCATGATAGCAAACCTGTAAATTTTATATTCGATTTTAAATCTCCGTCTCAGAAAATTACAGGAACTTATACAATCACTTTTTCAAAACAAAAATCCAAAGCAATTGATAATAAAACATACATTACAGCATACCTGCAAATTTTATATTCGGTTTTAAATCTTCGTTTCAAAAAATTACAGTAACTTATGGCGGCAGATTGTCTGCCCTCCTAATATGATGCCTTCTTCATACCCTTCTATTTTGTACGGTTACAGTTAACGCACGTTAACATTTTATTTTGATTTTCTTATAGAGGTGATAAGATAAAAATCAATAAGAATATAAAATGTTGACGTAACTTGACCATGACCGCAGTGACGGATCCAAGATTTCAAAATCGGGGGGTTCCAAGATAAAAGTTCAAAAAAAAATATATTAGACTAGTTTGGTTCCATAACACTATTTTTTATTGAATAATCAAAATTAATCAACCACATCAAGTGGCCAAGTGGTAAGGCACAGATTTCAGCTCTTAAAATACAAAAAACAGGGAGGTCCTGGGTTTGAGGTTCCAAGCTAGTGAGTCTGCTTGACTGTAGCCATGAGAAAGCTGAAATGCCTCTGTGAGTCTTCTAGGCCCCTAGAAGGGATGGATAACCGTGGCTTACCACTAGTTGTCCCACTTTAAAAAATAATAATAATAATAATAATAATCAAGATTAATCTCAAAGGTAATAAAACCAACAAATTCTCCTCAGCAACATAACACATCAATTAATGACTTTACAAAGATGAAATTTGTTAATGTAACATATATATTACAATTGGAAGTTGAGACTAGAGTCTAGGATTAAAAAACTTAAATGAATTTGGAAGAAATAAAATTAGGCAGCTAGAGGTGGTGGAACTGCAAATGGTGCTGGGGGATGGGATAACTTGAGTTTAAAATTGGGAGGTTACGATGATTTGGAGGATTAAAACAAAAATTAGAAACCTCTTCTTCTTCTTTGTAAGCACTGCTGCATGCACATCCATGGAGGCAAAAAGCCTCTCCGCTGCACCTGCCCAAATTATTGGAGGGTCCCGAAGGTCGATCACAAGTGTTTCTTCGGACTTCCGGAGGATCCTGAGACCTCCCGGGTCCCTATATGGATCCGTCCATGCATAACCGCGCATATAGAAAGGTATGGGGAAGGCACCATAGAAGGAGGGTAGACAATCTACCTCGTAACTTATACCATGATATTTTCAAAATATGATTAAAATTAATAAAGTTTTAAAATGCCGACACGAATTGAGTCAATTAATCATGATAGCATACCTGCAAATTTTATATTCGATTTTAAATCTCTGTCTCAGAAAATTACAGGAACTTACACCATCACTTTTTCAAAACAAAAATCCAAAGCAATTGATAATAAAACAAACTTTACGGCAGCATATAGTGGCACTCTCAAAAACCATGGCAACAAAATATATTGAAGTCGTGGGACGGTCAACAATAGTCTAGGCCGTCTGATTCTGATCACATCCAAGCAACTTCCCCACAGTGGAGTGGGTGATGTGTGCCCCCCTCCCACACACATGTAACACAACCCCGCATAATAAACCTAATCTTGAACACAGGTTGGTCCAACACATGTATAAATAATTCATTAGAATTTTTTTTTTTTATAGATGCATGTCAAATTATAATTTATTTGTAAAAAGAACTAATATTTTCAAGACGAGGAATATTAAACGTTCTTGTAATTCAAGAATAACGTTCGGACCAGAATAACGTTCTTGTAATTCAAAAATTTCGACATGGGCATTATAGGAATACGATCTGAAATATAATACCAATGTTGAAGATCATATATTATACACAAATATTTCATTTAAATATCTGTCACGGTTTGTGAGTCCCAATACTCAGCATTCTGTTCCTCTGCATGTGCTTTGTGCCCCCTTCAGTTTATTTCTCTTTCTAAAGTCGTCCTTCTTCTTTGTTCCTCTGATTCCATAAAACCACCAACACCTTTCTCTCTTAAAGTCAGACTCCCATAAAAATTTGTATAAAGATACAAAAACCCTACACAGTTTCTCAACCCTCTCTCTCTCTCTCTCTCTCTCTCTCTCTCAAGTTTTCAACCAAACATGTCTGATTTAAATTCTACACCTGCTTCTTCTTCTTCTTCTTCTTCTTCTTCTTCTCTATGGGTATATTCTTACCTAAAGCTTAGGTTTTTCAACCGCATCCGACGGTTCCTACGCTCCAAAAACGCCCGCAAACGCCCTACGCCGTCGGATCACTTCGACACGTCATCAAGACCCCCCAAAGTTGTAAGCAATAGTAACGAAGTAATGGTACAGCAAGTCGTTATGGAGAAGGTGAGTGGTGGTGACCATGATGATTCTGTGATGGGATTGCAAAGGGCAGTGAAGAAGCTTCACTTTGGAATTAGTTGGGAAGAGAAGGAGTTGGCGGCTATGGAGATTGGTATGTTGGCTAAAGAAGATGTCAAGGTGAGGAAGCTGGTGGGCGGGCTAGGTATTATACCGGTTTTGGTATCCATGGCGGCGTCCGAGGTGGTTGCTCGCCGGCGAGTGGCAGTTTTTGCCTTGATTGAGCTTGCTAATGGAACTTACACGTAAGCTTCCATTTTATCTCTTATATTTTGCTTAAGAGCATTTAAATTTTCATTCTTGGATAAGAGTTTATTTTTAATAATCGAGCTAATTTATGATAAATAATGCCTTTTTTTTTACTTGAATGTTTTGTGATTTTGCGTCTCGCATGGCATGCTAGGAAAATATTAATATATGTGTGTGTAATTTATATTTCATTGAACACGGATTATAACGTCAGGTTGTTTTGCTTATATATAAATGTATAATATTAAAAGAGTAGAAAATCGAATACAAGACTTTAGGCATAGAGTGAACTATATTAATTTTTTGAATTACATGTCTCTTATAATTAAATTATTGTTTATTAAGTTCGAGTGGCCACATTTGACTTTAATATACAGTTAAGTGATTGTCTTTTAGGTGAGATTTTTCAGTATGACGAGAAAATGGTCCGGTGCACTAAATGTCATAATACAAGTAGTTTAATTTTTTTTTTTTTCAAATGTTCAACCGCTTGTATTATAACATTTAGTGTATTGAACCATATTTCCAGCATACTAAAAAATTTGTCTCTTTTTAGGACAATTAAGAATGTAAATTATCGAAGGAAAGATGACTCCATTTTCCAAAAGTAGAATTAAGTGTGTTAAATTTTCGTTTGAATCTTTGCCCAACTCAAGTGATGATTGTGACATAAAACAGCTATCTTGCTAAAAGGCAATGTCATTTTAGTGGTTGGGTAGGGTTTAGTCGTTTAGTGGGCAGATGCAAGAATATAGAACAACAAAAAGTAGTATATTTGAATGGTTGCTATTGCTCAATCAACTTAAATTGATAGAGAAGAACTTATACGGTACAAATATAATATAGTGCTATCGTAGTGTTTCATCTTGGAGACACAGATATATTTAAATTTTACAGAAATGTTGTATTATTAATACTAAACACCACAATGTACCGTATCATATAAGTTCGAGCTCCACCCTGTATAGATATGTCATCTCAGTGGTTGCAGTTATTGTTTAATGAACTTTCCCAATAACTTGGCACATTTTTGCATAATGCAACTTAATTAATTAGTTTTAAAAAAGGGGTTAATGAGGTTTAACTATTATTTTATTTCATGGGATTGCTGCATTATTTGAAATATATCAAACATAATTAGACAATCTGCCATTGAATCAGAGGAGGCCGGCCGCAGGCTGCGGTGGCTGTCGACCAACTTAAAATACATAGTGGTTGGAAGAGTTGGAGGGAGGAACAATATAATGGAAGCTAACATGAACCTGTTTTTCAAACGTGATGATTTTTTTTAGGGTTCGTAGGAATTTTTAGGGTTAGTTGTTCAGATCCTATTTGACTTTTGGACAATAAAAACCCCCATTTTGTTGACCTTCACACCAAAACAAAGATTTAAATACTTTAGAATCTCATGGACTTGAGATCACTCTTTATTTTTTTAACTTTAATTATGTACGCCATCTATGTCAAAACAGAGAGTCTTGTTGGCTTGGGATCGCCCTTTATATGCGTCATCTTTGCATAGGATAAGTTCTTCTGTAAAGCCGGTCTCATGGGGCTTTTCTCTCAAGCACAAAACCAAACATTAGAATATGCTCTTGTGCATATGCAATGTTAATTTTCTCTGTATCGGCAACATAATTTCTATTTTGTTTGATGTGCTTATAAATTGTATAAAATGTATATTTTTAATTTATCAACTGGTCAAATTTCAACACCATTATTTGACTCGAACTATTTAGTTATTCTTCTTGTCATCATTAAGCTAGACAGAATAAGTTTGAGATATTTTGAGCTTATGTGATCTAATTTTCTGCATGTTCATAATTTCTTTCAGGAACAAGGCTCTCATGGTGGAGGCAGGAATCTTCTCAAAGCTACAAAACGACATCAACATTCTTGACGAGCCAACAAGGCACCAATTTGCAGAGTTGCTCTTGTTGTTGTCCTCACTTGCAAATACCCAGTTCCCTCTGTCCTCATCAGAAATTGTCCCATTTCTTGTTGGCATTATTGAGTCAAGCACTTCAACCATTGAAACCAAAGAGCCATGCTTGGGAGCTTTGTTCAACCTCTCCACAATGCTGGACAGTGCAGCCAATTTGGTCTCTAACGGGGTGGTCGAGGCGCTCCTGAAGCTATCCACAACCGAAGCGCTTTCTGAAAAAGCACTTGCGACGCTGGGGAACTTGGTAGTGACCCTAATGGGGAAAAAGGCCATGGAGAATAGCGCGGCGGTGCCGGGGAGCTTGATAGAGATTTTGACATGGGATGAGAAGCCCAAATGCCAGGAGCTATCTTGCTACATCCTAATGATTTTAGCTCACCAAAGCTCAGATCAAAGGGAGAAAATGGCCAAGTCAGGAATTGTGCCCATACTTCTTGAGGTGGCATTGTTGGGAAGCTCTCTTGCTCAAAAGAGAGCACTAAAACTTTTGCAATGGTTCAAGGATGAGAGGCAAGCAAAGATGGGGCCTCACTCAGGGCCCCAGACAGCTAGGGTTGCAATTGGTTCACCTTTAAATCAAAGGGAGGCACAACAAGGGAAGAAAGTGATGAACAATTTGGTGAAACAAAGTTTGTACAAGAATATGGAAATGATCACAAGGAGGGCTAGTGCTCATGGGGACTCATCCAACCTCAAGGCTTTGATCATCAGCACAAGCTCTAAAAGCTTGCCTTACTAAATGGGGATACACACAGCATTCTTAACGTACTTCCTCCTCGAGTTTCAAACGCATAGCCGCCAGAAGCAGAATCTCGTATTTCGTCGAGAGAACCTCTTAGTTGCTCACTGCTCATGAACAACTAGGACATTTTCTCAAGGGGGAATAAATGAAATCCTTGAAACAAAAACAAAAACTAAAAGAATCTGCATCTGTTGTGCACATAGCTTTTGACAATTGTAGATGTGAACAAATCTTATCTAGATGAGTAAAGATGAACCCTTGAATGGGACACAAAGGAATGTAGTGACTAGTTTTTCTTTTATTCCTTTGTTTCAATGTGCTAAGGTGTGCCATTCTTTGTGTGAAAAGAAAATCATATAATTCTCTTATGTTAAATCTGCTTACACCTTGGCCATTAATTTTAAGGAAAACTAATGAAAATGGCTTGAAAATTTTGAGTTTTAACGATAAGAGCAAAATAAAAGGTAAAATGAATAGTACCATGATTGACTTTTTAGTGTAAAAACTGTAGTTTTTCGTTAAAGTGAACGGTTTCGAGAGCTTTCATTAAAGTTCTCTTAATTTGATTGAGGCTCCTTCTTGGCGATGAAACCTCATATGGAAACTCCACATTCCTCCAAAAGTTCAGAGTTTTCTGCACTCTCTCTTGATAGACTTCTCACTAATAATCAAAGGTTCAAGACGGGTTTGACTGATAATGTAGAGTGTCAAAGGTGTACTTGTGGTTTTGAATCCGTGGCTCATGATTTTAAAGATTGCTCTAAGAAAATAGCCTTTCCTAGACCTAGGAAATCACTATTTTGATAATCCTCCTCCTTGTTCGAATAATTTTTGTTCATAAAGATCGGTTTGTGATGTCCAGACTTGAGACTTTTTTGCTTAATTTGTTTGGGCTATAAGCCCCATTCTTTTTATAAAAAAAAAAAAAAAAAAAAAAAAGGTAACGGGTTGATACAAGTTATTGGGCCAACCGGATCGCATCCACGAGTGAGGCCCATCATAATAGGCCGCCAAACGTACAGGGGCAGAATTGAACGACATCAACTACAAAGTCGTACAATTCGCCCTGGAAGGAATACGAATCTCTCGCTGTGATTAGGGTTTATACAGTCCAGGCGCAGCAGACTGCATCCCCCAAAATCCCAAACGACCACCATGGACTTCTCAAAGAAGCGCAAAACCGAGCCAAACGGCACCGTTTCGACTTCTCCATCTTCCCAATCCGCCTGTCTAACTCCCGAAGACGCCCGGAGGCTCCTCCAGCCCCTTACTCAGGACCAACTCATCGACATCCTCAAAAACGCCGTCGTTCGCCACCCCGACGTCCTCGAATCCGTCCGCTCCGTCGCCGACAAGGACTCCACCCTCCGGAAGCTCTTCATCCGAGGCCTCGGCGCCGACACCACCTCCGACTCCCTCCGCTCCCTCTTCTCCGCCTTCGGCGAGCTCGACGAGGCCATCGTCATCCACGACAAGGCCACTGGAAAATCAAAAGGCTACGGCTTCGTCACGTTCAAGCACGCCGACTCGGCCCTCCTGTCCCTTAAAGAACCGAGCAAGAAAATCGACGGCAGAGTTACCGTCACGCAGTTCGCCTCCTCCGGATTAGCGACGTCGTTTAACAGCAGCAACCCCAACGCCGCTGACGTCTCGGCCAGGAAGATTTACGTGGGGAGCGTCCCGTTTGATATCTCTTCGGACAGACTCTTGTCGGCTTTCTCGGCGTATGGAGAGATTGAGGAAGGGCCGCTAGGGTTTGATAAGGTCACCGGAAAATCAAAGGGGTTTGCTTTCTTCGTGTACAAGGCGGAGCAGGGCGCCAGGGCTGCGCTTGTTGAACCGTTGAAGAACATCGACGGTCATCAGGTGGCTTGCAAATTGGCGGTAGATAACAAGAAGAGCAAACCCGGTGGGGCACAAGGTACTCCTGATAATTCTGGTGTTCGGCCACCGCAATCTTCCATGCCTCCGGGAATGTATCAGGGCCTGCCGCCTCAGACAGGTCCTTATTCGGGTTTTCCAGGTGGGCATCAGCCGCTGCCGGTGCCTTCTGGTAATAATTTTGGTGGTGCCAGGTATAATCCGAATTTGGGAGGTGGATATGGTGTGCCACCGCCAGGAGAATTTGGAGCTCGATTGCCGCCAAGTTCTATTGGAATGGGTCCTGGAGGATACTCAGATGATCCACATTATGGTTTAGGATCATCCATGGCGCATCCTTCTCAGCATCAACAGACTCCTGTGCCTCGAATTCCGCCTGGTGGACTGTACCAGGGCATGCCGCCTTACTACTGAGGTAGTCTTTGTATTCATGTTTCTGTTTTTGGTATACACACATGTCTATACATACTAATATACAGACTTAGGAGTTGAGTTGCTATAGCAGAAGCGTCACGATGATGTATGTTTGTGAAGTGCCAAACTTGAGTGGAAAATGGACAAGGTCTTGTTTTTATTTTTTCTCCTTTTGTTTTAGCTGTATGTTGTTCGTTGCTGCCTGAGTCAATATCATCATGTGTGCTATGTGCGTAGTTACTTTTTATTGCAGAAGCTTTTCGATTGGTTTAGATTTGATTTGTTTTAGTGTTAAATGGGTATTTGGTTCAGGTCCTTGAGAAGCTTCTTGGGCGCAATTGCTTTAAATGGTTATCGTGATTCCATGAATGCAGACAATGAAATCTTTCGATAGATTATATGGACTGCTGTGATTCTGTTGCTGCTTCACTTCATCTGCTTCTATGAGCTGTGCTTTGTTTTCTGATCGATGTTGATCTACATGTAGAACTTACTTAAAAGGATATAACCTTTTCCTATATATTGTGTGCTGAAATAGGGATTTCCTTCTTTGTTGAGTTGATGACAAAACTTGCCCTTTGTTTGTAAATTTGTCATTTGTTTATGCTATAATGCTGATAGTTTTTTTCTTTATGTGATCATATGTGGCTTTACCTTTGTATGTGGTTCATGAAACCTTCTACTTGCGGTCATGATATAAATAATTGTTGTCCTCTCGCTTGTTTTGGAGTATCAAATGTTTATTTTTTTGAGGGAAATCAGTAAGTTGTAGCTTGTTTTCACTCCGGCCACTTTTTAAGTGCCGAGCTATATAAATTAGAAACCTTTGTTTTCTATTGAGTCCATACTTTGATTTATTTCTTTGTTTCGACTTAGTGTTTGAGAGAGTAAAATGGTTGATGAAGTAAACTTTACGTCATTGACTTTATGGTTTGTATTAATTGAGTTCTGAGCAGGCCAATTGGAACAGAATATATTGTATCTTACAAACTTTGGAGTTTACTGTCTTTTTTTTCGTATCTGTTTTAAACCTATAGGTGAAAATCCTGAAACTGATTTCATCACGTTCATGGACACTTTTGTCATTGTAAAAAGGGAGTCGAACCTACAATCTCAGATAAGAAATGTATCTTCTCAATATAACAAAAAGGGGATACATTTTATATGTTATGTCTGCTACTGTTTATTTCAGTTAGTTCATGCTTTAAAAGCGAACTTTTAAACAACCTGCCACATCATTTCAAGGTCTCTGTTCTTAAAGAAGCCGGTGGCAGCATTTAGTTATGAGCATCTTTCTTTTTTAGGTTATGGTCACCCTTTATTGTATATCATACATGACGGAGCAAGTTGTGGTCTTTTCATACTTGTTTATGTGTAAAAGAGTTGATACCATCTGCTTTAACGGGAACGTATCATTCTATCTTCCTTTAAAAAAATCTTGTCGAGTGCTTTCTCTTTACCCTCATTTCAAAGGAAGCATAAAGGAAATATTCTTGACATGGTATTCCTTCCATTTTTTGGGGTGTTCATTACCCGCCATCAATTGGAAACGAGGGGGTTGTTAAATTCTCCCCAGGTCGTAATGTTGCAGTGTCCTGCATACGCAAACGTTTGTTTTCCCTCTGTGTGCTTTGAGACTGGTTGATGTTTGAAGAAACCATTTTGATGTATTATACATTTTATGCCTTGCCTTGTGGTTTCTGTTGGCTCTTGTGTTGTCTATACCATGACGCAGGCTTACGCGTTTCTCGGCTGCTTACAAATGAGTTCGGAGTTGGCTTACGCATCCTCGTGAAAGCTTGGATCGGGATAGATGTTGCCGGAATCCCAAATGTTTATGTGGGAGTAACTTGGAATTGTAATCTTCATTATATGTTGTAGGTCATTATCTATTTGTAACATTTTGAACTACTGCAAGCAATTATGTGATAAGACAAAGATGACATTAAATTTTAATTAAATCTTAAAGAGTTTCTCTTCTCTTTCATCATCTGGCTTTGGTTATCGAACACTGTATTAGGGTTTTACACTTTTTAATTGCGTCTGCCATCTCAAAATTGAGAGATTTTTCAGTATGACAGGATTAGGGTCCGGGATACTAAATTTATAATGTAAGTGATTGGATGCTTGAAAAAGAAAATTTCAACCACTTGTACGTTTTGTGCAATGGGCCCTGTTGAAATTATAACCTCAACGAAAATTCAGTCTCTAAATTCAAACATCTTTGTATAATTGGCTAATGATTTAGATGGTAGATTAGGAAGCTGACGAGATTCGAACTTACGTCGTTGTATAGGGGCAACAATCCTCTCCACTACTGAACCCTTCACCACCACTGCCTCAAATCCCCGACCTGAAAAACCTTCATCCGTGACGATCAACCAATATGGCGGAGTGGGAAGAAGAATTTGGTTGGATTTGGGAGATGTTAGAGAATGAGGAATGATAGTGGATATGGAAGTGATATGGTTTGTTTTGAAGATGATTTTGAGTCAGAAACGGATAAGTTAAAGCTTTCACACGAGTCTCGGTACTTTGAGGTAGGAAGATGGTGGGTGCGGACTGGATGTTGAGGATATGGATGCGTTGAAGCTTTCACACGAATGCTTACCAATGATTTACTCAAAGTTTTCGGATGAGGCTGACAATGTCAAGTCCTCTAAGGGGTTTGAAGAGGTTCGTGGAACAAAATGGAGCCGAGGTTTTGCGCTCCTTGCTTGTACTGAGTGGTGGAATGGACTGTCGGAATTGAGCAAGAGGCTTCTACTGAAGGAGATGTTGTAGAAAGATTTAGGATTGGACCGATGCTATGCCTCCGTCTTTTGGCAATGGTTGTGCGGCAGTTAAGAGGAGAGAAAAGATAAATGCTGCCAAGCAGCAAAATGATAGGATTATGCGTCCATCAAATGCTCGTTCAGGTAACAGCCGCGATATTTGCGCTTCTGAAGAGGTACATACCAGGAAGAAAAGAAAGAGAGG